AAATTCAGCACTGCACTCATTTGCAAGTCTACCAGAAAGATGCAAAATCAAGTAATCTAAATTTCCACAATTCTTCCCACCATTAATATCCACATAGCCCCTGGATAAAAAGTAAGAGGATCTCATAAGAAACTACTTAGTCTTTGTTATTGAAATAGGTCTTCTGCTGTAACAATTGTTTTACTGCCCATTTGGGGCTTGAAAAAATAGCTCAAATAAGATTAAGTAGCACCGTCATGACCCACCTAATTCCAAGTTTCAGTTTGAACCTGTACCAAAAGTAGTTGAGGACTGATTTTAGAAGTGGCATTCATTTTACTTACACCAATAATATTCGGATGGCTTAATTCCTGCAACAATTTTATCTCCCTGAGGGCTGTTCTGTTAATTCCTACATTTAAAAAAAAAAAAAAAAAAGAAGAAAAGATGACAGACAGAACAAAACAAAAAACTTTGAATTAAGCGCCAAAGAAACCTCTCATTTTGTAACTCACTGATGATTTAATACCACAAACTACTTTCTCACCCTTCAACAACTTGTTAAATAACAAGTACAATGCCATAGATATACTTGCTGCAGAGTAAAAGTGGACATACGCTTTCTTCCACAGCAAATACACTACATTAATCAGATACAGATTATGAAGCTACATGACCCTCTTTGGCAAAAATGAAAGTTCTAGCAAAAGCCGAGAGAGAAAAGAAAAAATAAAAATCAACTTTTTCAGGGTATTGTAAGCTTTGCTTTTATTTTAAAGAAAAGTTACATCTTGCAAATATCAGTTCTTCAATGTGTCTCCCTTCCAGGGGCAGGTACACTGACAAACCTCATGAATATATCTCTTTTCTTTTTGATGTAGCATTATTTAATAAGGCAGGGCACATACGTTTTTCTGTATTTATGCTCTGGCATAAAAGATGCAGTGGCCAAAACCTGCTCACACTTCCTTGAATCCTTCAATAGCCAGATTTTACAAAGGAAAAACAACAGGGGGAGGATGGTGCACTCTGGCACTCACACTGACTGCACTGCATCAGACCATGATTTCTGCAGGGTAACAATTCCTCCTTCAAAAGCGCTGGTACATATGGCTTGTACAAAAACTGACTGGCAAGCAAATGCTCCTGTGGTACATTGCACAGGCAGTTTCAGCTGTGCATGAACTGAAAAAAACAGTGTTCTCCCAAAACCTGGGATATGATTCAACAAGTAAGACTCTAGTAAAGGTTCGGACAAAGCTACACGGATTATTTTACACTCCTGCATTGCTTATTTTAATTACTTATTTTAAAATCAAGTTGACAATGGCTGGGCAAAGCCCTACATTCAAAAAAAGCACACCGGGTTATCAGATAGCACAAGGAAACCAGACACGATCATTATTTTTAATAACAACTTCGAACAACTTTGAACTCCAGCTAGACAACGTATAGGCTAAAAGTAATGACTACCCTTATAGGATATTAGTCTACTGAAGGCCAGATGGATGACAACTCTCTGGCAGTCAGCTCAACTGTGAGACTCAGGAATGACTGCTCAGTTTCTCTTTAAAAACTCTTCCCTTAGAATGGAATTGGAGAGTTGAAAGCAGATTCTTCAGTGGAAAGTTGGTAACCTGATGCAGGATCCCTGAAGGACAGCAGCGTACACACATACAAAATTCTACTGCACCACACAGGCTGTATGAGACGATGAGGATTATTGGGTTTTTACTTGCAATATTCATGCCTAAAGGCATATGGCTGGTAAGAACACATGATCAAAAGACCAGATCTATGGACCTGATTTCTCAACATAAAACAAACCTACCCGGAGACAAGAGTTTTGAGATCTTGTTTTTATTAACTTTTGTCTCAGCATAGATCACAAAAATAGAACACAGGAAATATCTGAAAACAGAGATAAATAATCTCACCTGTCTTAAATATTTAAGGCACAGAGATGCATCAATGCTAAAAAAAAGTATTCCAAACACATAGCTGTAAACATTATCATTGTATGCTGTATTTGTGTTTGTATTCCACTTAAATTGAGAACCTAGCTGGTTACATACCCATATTTTGACATACACTATGCATGCAGATATCTCTGCTGCTTTTTTTCTGCCCCTGAAGTTTGCGAGGCAAACCTCCACCAAGCCTTATGCTAAAAGAGTTGAGCTCATTTTTCTCAGCCAAGTTATGGTGTGGGAAATTAGCGTACCAATTTACAAAAAAAAAAAGCAAACAAAGCACAGCTTCTGCAGCATGAATTTGTTTAAAAACTCACCATCTTTAGCTTCTGATCTATGTCCCAGTTTAATCTGAAAATAAATGTTTCGTATTATATAAGGTTAAGCCATCTGCCCCGACAGTAGGGGATACATTCTTTAGTATTACTCTTCTAAGACAGAATGAGTTTCAGTACCACAAAGCCCTCTACCAGCGAGGGTTGGGGTTGTTTTGTGGTTATTTTCCTCTTAAAAAAAAATGGTCTCTACAGCATTAGCTTTTATAAATGCTTAAAAATAGTAATGACAGCACTGGAAACAGATACAATGCAAACTGGCAGCATAAAATGTTTTGTAGCCACAAAGCTTTATTATACCACTAATGAGCTTCTCCCCAGGGAGAAGTGAGGGCAAAGTAATTGACAGTCATCTTAGAATGATTCTAATAAAATCAGCATACTCTCTAAATTATGATACCGTAAGGCCTAGTGTATCAATTGAGCTGCCTAAAGTCTTTCTATCTCAATCACCTACTGCCCTGAAATTTTCAAGTCCAGAATCCTGCCACTGATATTTCCAGTTGATAAAAGTTAAAAAAATATTCTGATACAAACAAGAATGCTTTTCATAACAGCTGCTACTAGTAGAAACCATACAGGAAAAGTATTATAATGCTAAAAGAGATTAGCATACCAAACAAAGTTACTTACTAGTGATATGGTTCAACTTGTCTAGTAAAGTAGAAACTTTAACTAACCAAAGCACTGTAATGTGTATTTTTCATCCCTCACAAAGCACAGCTAATCAACTATTTTTAACATAAAAACTTCTTCCTGCAATCTCTTCAGGCAGTATGAAGTGAAACACTTTCTGACAAGACAGGCATTTTCAATATTTGCATTCAAACAGGTAAGTTGCAGATCTAAGATCACTTTTATCAAACAACTACCATAAATTCTGAAGAACTTAATCAGGAGTAACATTCCTGAACTGAAGGAAAAGGGGTACAGCAGGAGGAAAGATTAAAAAAAAAAAAAAAGCCCTATCACGGACTAATAAGTCTGAAGTTTGGAAATGTGTGGTTTTTTTAAAAAATAAACCTGTTTAACAAATAACTGAAATTTCAAGTTACAAACTAGGTAACCTTCAGAAATGTAGTAAGACTGAAGCTAGTGTCTCTTCTTGGGGGAAGAAGGTATTAAAGACATATTAGCTAGATCGTTTAAACAAAACACTCTAGACACAATAATATCTATTTTCCTACTACCCATTAAGTCAGTTAAAAAAAAAATAAAAAATTAAATCATTAAGCAGATCAAGAGCAACCAGACACCTGATCACAGAACGGGAAAAAATTCTGACACTCACCTTTTTAATAGCCACGATCTGGTTGACGTTCTTATCTCTTGCTTTATAGACTGTAGCAAACTGAGGACAAAGAGAGAGGCCCGAGTGAACACCGGGGCAGCGGAGGAGCGGCCAGGCCTGTGCCAGCGCAGCCTTCCCGGGGTTCCACGGAC